ACTGACATGCAACAATCACTAAACTGAGATGGACCATGTCTGTCTGGGCTTTCCTGGTCTCAGGTGAGAGTCTGAGCGCACATGTACCCATCGCAGGCATTTTAGGGGAGGGACAAGTGGACAGAAGACACTGGCTGTCTATTTGTTTGCATTTCTGCAGGGCTGTTTGGGAGTGTGCAAACTCTGACAGCTGTGCTGCCAGTCAGAACATGGACAAACATTAATGCCATTTTTACAGCATGTACATACTGCAGTATTTTTGAGCCATTTTCTGTTATTCTGATATTTGTCCCATGAGTTACTGTCAACAGTCACTAGTGACCTCTCACACAACTTAGATATTTCAAGTGTTGCCTAAGAAGTAATCAAACTGGTGAAAAACAAGTACCAGACTTCATAGCACTAAATGCTCTCACTTTTGAGTTTTCACTCCTCTTAATCAAAAAGCTCTTCCTCAGAATCCCCTATGCCTTTACAGAAATCTTTAACACAATTCTATTGAGCACTTCCTTGTATTCTAATGATAGTTTGGTGTGTGTTTGCATTGCACATCAAGCGACACTATTAAAAAGTGTGTCCCAGCATTGCAGGCACTATGTTAACTGCTAGATAACTACTTCTGCAGGGAGGACGAGAAGCTTGCAATATAGGCTGCACTGATGTTGCCAAAACACGCAGGAGCTGTTCAAAGCATAAGTATATGCAAAAATGGGTATAAGTGAGTTAAAATATGCTAACTAGAGGTAATACTAGTAATATTTATATATAGTACTTTAATATTTATACAATAAATACTATATATAAATATTTTTATATAGTACCTTCAGTCTAAAGCACCGGGCACAACAACATACTCTTATCTGAATTGCTAAGGCTTGAAGTCTTTACATTTCCTGCTCAAAGGGTGAACTTCCTTTCAGCAGAGGAGATCTGGACACAGCTTGCCACCAACGCCACAAGCATTGGACTGAAAGAAGACACTGACTGAGACAGTGTGATACAAAGTTCAAATCTCTCCTAGCTTTGCTACACTGCCTCTGTGGTGCTCCCACCTCTTGCATGGCTAGAAATGAGATCTAACGCTGAAGGTCTGAAATTGGATTCAATACGTAGCAACACGCTGTGCCACCTTTACAATACAGGACTGGCCAAATAACATTGTTCAAAGGGAACTAGTCAAAACCTCTCTCTTCTCTCTTAGATCCAAGTATTGGCAGTGATTAGTTTACTTCAAAGTAATCTTAACTGCTGCTATTTTGAGGGCAGGCATTGGGAGAAGAGAGTAGGATGGAGTAAATCGTATTTGAATCTTTTAAATTTAGTGCATCAGTAAGACCTAAATTCAGTAATTGTGCAGATATTTAGATGCTCTTTTATCCATTCAAATTAACAACCAGCTATGCCTACACAAATGACAAAACAGAGTTATACGCTGATGTAGGAAAAAGCTCAACCTAACCTCAACAAAACTAACCAAAATCCCATCCAGTTTCAATGGAAAACCCAAAGGACCCCTAATTTCCAGGACTCTATCAGCAACTGCAATAGTATACGTCCAAAGAATACTACAGGGCACAAGAGAGGTAGGCTATGATTCTTGTTAGAAGACAACCTGTTTGTGTCTCATACTTTGAGGAAAGGTTTCAGAGAATTCATCCTAGTGTAATGATGACCCTGCTAATATTGCCAAGAGCAGTGTCTAGATGAGTTATTTAACACTTAATATGTTCACATAAATTAATGTTGCCATGTAGGAGCGAGGGAACATGACTTTTTCAAAATAATTTTCTGCATTTCATATCCATGAGTCATTTTTCACTGTTCACAAAAGCAATGACCATCCTGATCTTGCTAATTCTCTGGCTCTGCTTACATCCCTGCAAACCTTTTCACAATGCAGTAGAAAGAGAGAATATTCCTGCGTGTACAATTAAATTTAAAAAAATCTTGTAGAGAATAACTTATCTGGGCAAAAGTACTGATCTACCTACTGCTCTGATTTATAAGACACAAGAACTATTTTACATCAGGATACAGTAAAACAATAAAAATTCAATGCTGCTTGTAAAATCTACAAAAAAGCTTGGTAGATAACTGGAAACAGTCATGTTGCCCAGTAGAAACAGGTTTATTTGTATTGTAGGTTGTATAAACAACGCAGATATATAATCTATGCAAGCTATCACCAGTCCTGCTCAGAACGCAATCTGATCATACGTCACAGGAATTATCTGCTATGGGCTGTGCAAGGAGACCACAGCCAGATAACAGATTTACAGATTTTTAAGGCCAGAAGGGACCATTATGATCATTTAGTCTGATCTGCTGTAAAACACAGGCCAAAGACCCTCACATGATAATTCCTGCATCAAATCATAACTACAATTTGAAACATGTTCTATCTCAACCACAGCAATGAAGAATCATCCAACATGTCCCTAGGTAAACTGTTTGACTGGTTAGGTATTTTCACTACTCAAAATGTGTGCCTCATTTCTACCTTGAATTTGTTCAGAGTCTGCTTCCTACTACTGAACATTGCTATATTTTTCCCTGTTAGATTAAACAGATATTTTTATTAAAAAAAAAATAAAATTCCTACTCCCTAAGGAAGGTACTTGCAGACGGCAAACTAGTCACCTCTTCAACTTCTCTCACTCTTGAGTGGAACACCCTTCCCAATTTTTCAATGTCCTTTTAAATTATGAGTACCTGCTAAAGCTTTGATGAAATTTCAACTCGATGTTAATCTTATACAGTTCAAGACTGCATTTACATCCATAGCTATAGCAATCAACTAACAGCTCATATTCTGTTGCTTCTCTACCTGGTTCACCAACACCTCTAATATGTGTTCCTTTACATTTTGCTGATTTAAAATTCATATTGTTGAAAAAACCACACTTGACTAAGTGACAGTGATTTTATATACTTTTCCAAATAATGACGAAATACCAAATAGATGGAGCTGAAAGCACTGCCATGGAACTGCCACTTTATGAGCCACTTCTTTGTGTACTGGGTTTTTTGGTGATGGGCACTG